ACCACTAAACCACTGGCGCTTCGTGTTGTTGGTGAACTAATTTGTCAATAATAGATCTATATAAGTAGAAACAAGAAAAAGACAGAAAGAACCTGGAGATGCAAACGCCAGACAACCCTCGACCGTGACCGCTAGGTTCGAGGGTCTACAGGATACAGCACACAGCAGCAGGGAGGCGGTCCCTGCATGTATCTATCTATGTACGTACGTGTGTGTGTGCACGACTTGTATTTGGAGAGTACTGCGGTAGCACTCAGACAAGATCAAAGTATTTGAAGTGAGTGAATGGAAGCAGCACAATGTGCAGTAGATCAGCTTATAAAAGGTTCGTAGGTGGTTGAATGATCACAATCTCAGAGGTAGTCGATTCATGTCGTTGTGTACCGACTGGCAGATGTAAAATCAATGGATGTTCAATTTTCTGTGGACTGGCTTGGAAGCGTAGTAGTAGGTCCTGCCGCTGGTAGGTGTGCTCGGTATTACATGCCCGCGTGGAGGAGGTTGATATGTAGGTAGTGTTGTTAGAACCAGAACCAAGATGGGTACCTAGGTGTACAGAAGGGAAATAAGAGTACAGTCGTTCGACTTGACCCTGATCGATGTACGGGAGACCAGCAAAGCATTTCTGGGGAACTAGGGTAGTTGCCCATGTTATGGCATATCCTAATGCAGAATGCATCTTGACGGGAAACGCTTCATTCGCGGCCTTCCATCCTGTGTGTTGTCCTGCTTTCAATTCCCGGTTTTCTTCCTCTTGAAAAGGTCTACGGCTTAAGCCCTTTGCACCGATTCTGGTAAGAACTCGGCTTGAGGACTCGGGACCAGGACGACGAGGACGGGGAAGAACCGCCTGAAGAAGAAGAGGAGCAAAATCAGGACCGTGATTATGTCCCTACCGACTTGGACCAGACCGTGCAGCCCGATCATGAAACTCAACAGGCACACCAGGCACAAGCAAGCAATCATCAAGTCTACTCTACAGTCGTCTACTCTAACACCATCTATGCCGTCCGGATGACGCCCTTTCAGTTCCACCTTCAATCAGACAGCGATAAGCCACCCGGCCAGATTATATGTACCATGGGAGTAAGCGAACAAACGCCCAAGTAATCTATGTAGAAGTCGATAAAACAAAGCAAGATCTGCCGTGAAGCCGGCAAGATGTAGAATGCAAAGAATGCCACCAGACAATCCGAGAGACCGAAAACGAAAACCCTGCTCACATATGATGCAGCGTGAAGACGGAAGCAACAACCCAGCCCGAGGTGGGCTTCCGAAAGGTATATCCTCCAGTCAGAGCTGATCATTATCCGAGTAAATCAATCACCTCTTCTTCCGCTTAATAAACGGATCAACAGGCGCCTTCTTCTTCACTATCGGCGGCGGTCTCTGTTGTTGTTGTTGTTGTTGTTGTTGCGGTTGTTGTTGCTGCTGCTGCTGGTAACCTGTACCACTACCACCCAGTCTGCTTGGTCCAGTTGGAGGACCGGGTCGAGAAGGACCAGCAGGTGGTTGTCGCTGTTGCTGATGGGCCGGATACGGAGGGAGGTTGTAGCCCCTGGGCCCCTTGGGGGCTCTGCTGGCGATGGGGTCGATGTGTTGCTGTGATAGGGAAAATGTTAGTCAATCTGGGCTCATCATACGTTGCTGCTGCTTGTTCCGGTATAGGATACTACGTACCTTCTTGCCAGGTTGATCACCCCCTCCTCCCTCATACGGCCTCTTCTTTACCCTCGGCGTGAAAGTCGTCTCCTGAATGACCGGCAAACCTTCCCTGTACTGTGTTGGCTGCGGCTGCTGCGGGGCAGGCGAACTTCCGAACCCGTTCCCGGTATGACTTGGAGTATTGCGTCCGGAAGGAGGTCTGGACGAACCCATCGCACTGCTGCCGCCGACAGCAGCAGCCGGAGGAGAAGACCCCCTAAATGACGATCGATCCCCCATTTGCACATCGCTATCCTCGTCCTTCACCTCGACCACCTCCCGCTTGATACCGCTTGGCGTACTTTCCCTGGTGTTATCAGTGCTAGTAATCGCCAGAGCCTCGAACGCCGCAGCAGACAGCTGTGGCCCCGCCTGGCTTAGCATTCCCATGATATTTCCCGTGGTATACCTATCGCGCCGCTTAGAATCCTCAATGAGCTTCGCCCAGAACTCACCCTGCATGAGAGCGCGGGAGTCACCGAGAATCCACAGTGAAGACCGCGCACGCGTGAGACCGACGTTCATACGACGGATATCCGTCATGAAACCAATACCACCTGTGGGGCTGGCACGAACGCATGAGAAAATAATGATCTCGCACTCTCGTCCTTGGAAGGCATCAGTGGTATTGAACTCGATTTCGTCCGTGATGGTATCGCCGAAGCGCTGGGCAAACTGAGACCGCAGCCGGTACAGCTGGGCCTTGTAAGGAGTAATGATACCAATCTTGCCCTTGAGGTCGACATTGCCGTAATCGGCCTTGAAACGGCGATAAAGTTGCATGGCGACCTTGAGTTCTTCTTCGTTGACCAGTGACTGATTCTTTGGTCCCCGCTCCTGCGAACCGCGGACGTCGAAGAAGCGGTACGGACCAAGCAAGGTACTGCGGTGCCAGGGCTGGAGGCGCGACTTGGCCATGTCGTCACCGTCTTGTAGGAGGCCTTCGTAAAAGGCGGCTCTGGGGAAGGAGCTGATTTCAGGATGCATACGATACTGGGTGTCGAGGAGATGTACGTCCTTCTCGTGATTCTTCTGCATGCGGACGAACAAACTCTGGTCGTAGCCGTACCGTGCAGCAGACTGCGAGAGAACGGTAGGTGGTAACTGCTTAGGATCACCGACAAGAATGCACTTGGAGCATCCGTACTTCAAGGGAATGAGCGCACTGAGCTCCACACACTGCGCCGCCTCATCGATGATGACCGTCTCAAACTCTACGTTCAAGTTCTTGAACATCTCGTGACCGCTACCGCTGAGAGTGGCGCACAGCACCTGAGCCTTGTCCAGAATCTCCTGCTGGACCTGTCGGCGTTTGATTTCGGTCTCTCTGGCAAATGTGTTGCCGCTAGCTTTATCCGCATCGATGCGCGCTCCGATGTGCGCCTGGCGCCGCTTGAGTTCGTCGAACTCCCGCTGATATTTGTTGACCAGCTGCCTGTCGTCAATCGTGCGCGCTGCTTCCAGTTGAGGTCTGAGTTCGGCAATCTTCTGCTTGATCTCGCCCGCTTCTTGGTGCAGCTTCTCCCGGTCAGTTGGGCCTTCATCCTTGTTCAACTGAGCCTCCAGTTTCGCCTTGACCAGCTCATCAAGCGTGACATCCTTCACTGCGCTGTTGATGGCATCACTGCGACCGAGACGGACCACCTCAATTTGGTGAGTTGTTCCGTTCTGGGTCTTGACGCCATTCTTCAAGCGCAACACCAGTTCGTCCACAGCGGCGTTACTGGGCGCGCAAACAAGCAGCTTCTTTGCTGGA